CCAATCTTAGAGGAAATGAATATTTCTATTGTTACTTTGATAACATTTAAGGCCATGAGTCACTTAGTTGAGAAAACACCCCATGTGGGATGCCTGGGTGGCTCAGTCAGTAAAGTGTCTGCCTTTGGCTCAGTTCATGATCCCAGTGTCCTGGGATCCAATCTCCCACTGGGCTCCCTGCTTAGCAGGGACTCTGCTTCTCCTTGTGCCTGTGCTCTGCGCTCATTCTCTCTCTCTCTGAAAAAAAAGAGAGGGAGAAAATACCCCATCTATCTAGAATACAAAGCCATTGTCCAGAGAAGCTCACCAAAGCAGATTATACATTATACAAAATATAAGTAAGAAAAATAAAATGCGCAAAATGTTCTGCCATGGGGCGCCTGAGTGGCTCAATGGGTTAAGCCTCTGCCTTTGGCTCAAGTCATGATCTCAGGGTCCTGGGATCAAGCCCCCCATCGGGCTCTCTGCTCAGCCAGGAGACTTCTTCCCCCTCTCTCTTTTCCTGCCTTTCTGCCTACTTACGATCCCTCTCTGTCAAATAAATTTTTCAAACATTCTAAAAAAAAATATTCTGCCATTCTTCAAAAATAAGAAAACCAGTTTCACTGCAATAATTTATTTTCAGAAATCATAAGTTACAATGTTAAAAAATCATCTGTAATTTATTTTACTTACTCCAAGCCACAGAAAACAAGTCCCCTCATTTCAATTGTGGGTTCCTTATTTCCTATAGCATGGTGTAATGACTGATTTGACCTACATCTAAATTCTTCAGACTTTCTATCCTAGTGAAATCCTTGGCTAATTTTCATTGTTTCTAAGTATAAGTAGACAGTCCATTTTAACACTATTCCCATTAAGCACCACCATTAGAAAACAGCCCGAGATTTTAATAACCATATAGAGCCACCAGAGTATTCACAGCCAAGCTATAGCACAATGGTTGAAATTTCCCCAGAAAAGAGACTCAATCCCAATATCAACACCCAGAAATCCATTGGTATTGCCAGTTTCTGGCCTATTTAAGATGATCCACAAGTGGCTGCTTAAAACAAAACAAGGGCACCTGGCTGTCTTAGTCATTAGAGTGTGCAACTCTTGATTTGGGGGATAACTGTAAGTTTGAGCTTCACACTGGGTGTAGCGATTACCTGAAAATAAAATCTTAAAAAAATGCCCAAATGCAAAGTAATTCAAATTATGATGTTGTGTGATTAAGAGAATACAAACCAGATAAACCTTGTCCCAAAAGTAAAATTATTATACAGAAATTACCATGTCCTGGAAATCAGACAATTCACTGAGATTACGTCGACTTAAAAAAAAATTACGCTTGTTTGTTTGTTTTAGATTTTTATTCATTGATCATCTTACTGAATGTGAACTTGGTGAAAATTTGTATAGTTAATTCATTATCAAAAAGAAATTTGGAGTGCCTGGGTGGCTCAGTGCGTTAAACCCTCTGCCTTCAGCTCTGGTCATGATCCCAGGATCCTGGGATTGAGTCGGACATCAGGCTCTCTGCTTAGTGTGGAGCCTGCTTCCTCTTTTCTCTCTGCCCGCTTCTCTTTTCTACTTGTGATCTCTGTCAAATAAATAAACAAAATCATAAAAAAAATTTACTTCTTCAAATGATATACATAATTTAAATGTATACTGGCTATTTGTTCTCTGAAGAAAACCCAACTGTTTTCTACATGTGGTGCTAAAATCAGCATCTATCAGCTTCTCAGACCTAGACCTACTGTTGATCCAGAATCCGTCATTTAAACTACACAAGCCCTCCTCGTAATTCACTTTTTTATTTAAGATTTTATTTATTTATTTCAGATACAGTGAGTGAGTGAGAAAGTATGTACATGCTGCAGAGGGGTGGGGGAGGCAGAGGGAGAAGTGGACTCCCTGCTGAGCAGGAAGCCTGACTTGAGCCAGGGCTTGATCCTGGGACCCCGGGATGATGACTTGAGCCAAAGGCAGAAAATAGGCAGACACCACAAGAGTGTGGTTATTTGCGGGCACCCAGGTGGCACAATCAGAACACTGAAAGTAACCAAACAAAGTATGAGGTTATGAATATTCTAAAATTTCTGGCAGGGAAACAAGGACTTAAGAGAAATATCTATGAAAAGACTTACCCTCCCTGCTCCTTTAAAAAAAAAGGAATATAATTTTTCTGAACCTAACAAAGCTTTTCCCTATAAACTACCACTTGTCATAGTATCAATACCCACGTTATTTATACACACACACACACACCACATACTCCTTAACAAATTAAGATAGCTATTTAAGAATTACATCCAGGTCTACGGCCATACCACCCTGAACGCGCCCGATCTCGTCTGATCTCGGAAGCTAAGCAGGGTCGGGCCTGGTTAGTACTTGGATGGGAGAATTACATCCAGGTATATTCAACTATCCATAGTACATTTCTATAAAGGCTTTTCCCAATTACCTGTTTAATTATTACTCAATTCCCTCATAACTAAAATAAGCAAATCAGAAGGATCTATCATAGAATGCCAATCACAGATAACAAAAGGTCCATTACTCACTCAAGTAAACATAAATAATGAAGAATAATGGGAGATTAAGGTCCTGATTCAAAAGAAAATGTATGGTACTTAGCAAATCAGTTCCTCTCTAGGGCTCAGTATTAACAACTACGAAATGTCACCTTCATCTCCTTAAATCACAGTCAAAACTTCTACATCTCCATTTAGGACTTGATAAAGATGCAGAAAATAGTAACTTATTAAAACAATTAGAGTAATCCATCTGATGTATCTTTAGCATTCTGCTTAAGGTGTAACTCTCGTTTCAAACTCATTTCAAACTCTCATTTCAAACCAAAGCAGTTTCTCAACAACAAACTAGAAATTTCTTATTCATATGTTAACTGGAGCTGCCTCATAGTTTGGGGACATGCTCTTGGGAAACAGATATAAGGTTCAAACTGAATGATGATAGTAATATTAAAAAAACCAGCAAAGTATCTACCACATCGTTACTCACTTGAAATTCCTAATAAAAAAGATCAGATATACAAATGTTACAAACATAGAAGACATTCTATAAAAGCAAACTGCAGTAGTGGAATTTAGAATTCACTTCCCTTTACATCTCTGGGAAAACCTACACTTCTATATTCCCTAACCTGCACAATATTGCTCCAAATACCTTCTGAAATTTACAGGCTAAGAACTTACGGTCAGGATATGTGTGTCCCAAGTACTTGGACTGACTCTTAGGCTGTACTTCAGAGTACTCATGCTGAGCCTCATTTCATCATGCTCAGTTATCATAACTCATCACAAACCCAGTTAAGGTCTTTTCCAACAACTACTACAACTCTGTAAAGGAACTGATATCTGCAGACAGTACATCTCTACTAATGCAAAGTCTTCTAGCTTAGGAAAACAAACGATCATGTTCATGTAACAAGGTAAGTTAAATGGCAGCAATATCATTCAACTGACACAGAATAAAGGTAAAAATATGGGAAAAAAATTAAAAGACAGTAAAACCCCAGCAATGTGACAAAATAACATTAAGATCTTTGCTGTCTTCGTACTAAATATAATAGTTTATAATTTTCTTCTACAAGCAAATCACCTAACAAATTAAAAAAATGAAATATTCAAATATATTAAGGATCTAGATTACATTGAAAACATCTACAAAAATATTCTCAAGTTAGAATCAATGTCAATGGTCAAATAAAATTAAGGAAAATCAAATAAATAAAACACAAAGTCCAACCAGTCCACTGATACGTGATGTTGAGGATTCCGAAGGAGGTCTAACATTTCTAATACAAAGAACAAAGTGATATGATAATACAATCCAAACTATCATGGGACGAACACAGCACACACTACTTTTCCTGATACAGATCTCCTAATAGACAATAAATTATTCCTATCAGGAACTGTACTTTTTAACTTTCTTTCTCTGTCAGGTTAAATAGGTGATGGACGATTTAGGAGTGTGCCAGGTATTATATAGAAGTGTACTGTATGTTAACCAACTACCATTTAAATAAAAACTTTTTTTTAATAGAAAAAAAAAGTAACTAGGAGTACAAATAAATTTTATATAAGAACAGATATTACCATTTACATCTAAATGGATGGAATTGGAGGGTTATTATGCTGAGTGAAATTAAGTCAATCTGAGAAAGATAATTATCATATGGTTTCACTCACATGTGGAATATAAGAAAAACTGCAGAAGACCATAGTGGAAGGGAGGGAAACTGAACTGGAACTTATCAAAGAAGGAGAAAAACCAAGAGAGGCTCAAATTAACTACAGTAAACAAACTGGGGTTTGCTGGAAGGACATGGGCAGGGGGATGTAACTGGGTGCTGGGCATTAAGGAGGGCATGTGATGTGATGAGCACTGGGTATTATACGGAACTGACGAATTACTGAACTCTACATCTGAAACTGATGATGTACTATAGCTTGTCTAATTAAATTTAACTTAAAAATATGGGAACAGACAGTCCAATGATTGCAGATGTACAAATATCTCACCCCATGGGTCATTGTGTTACCCTTGTTAACAGTTAATCTAATACAAATGATTCATAATCATCAAATATCTGGCTGGTCTTTGAGGCTCTTTATTGAATCTTGGCTACCTCACCTAATTTTTAAATTATTTTGCCCACCAAAGAAAATTAATCCAGTCTAGTCTTCTACTAACCAATTCTATTCTACATTAGAACTTCCTAAATTAGAGGCAAAAAAAAAAAAAAAATTGATGTTAGCAACATGGACTACAGAGCAAAATGAGGTGACACTCAATGCAGAAGACCTACTGGGACTATTTTTTTTGGTCTGCATCCCTGCCAACAGAGGATACCAGGGGCAAATGGGACATCACTTTTAATACAAGGAAAGTCCCTTGAGGTTTCCTCATCTATCATTTAAGAAATTGAATGAAGTATACTGCAGCCAACACCCAGCTGCTCCCCTTCACATTCTACTCACTTTTGGCATAGATGGACTTGCTGCATTTAATACCTGAAGTCATTAATCAACATTCACATCTAAAACAAATATATCCTTGGAACTGGATTTCAAATACTGCTCTCTTATTGGTCCTTCATCATCTCAATTAAGCAGTAGAGATCCTCTCACCCCTGTAAAATCAAACAGAATTTTCTTATTTCTACTCTTTGACCGAAAATGACTAAAACGCATTGTAAACATTATGACAAGGTACCTAGCTTTATTAAAATAAGTCCATACAAACATATTTCTGACTGGCTTCTATTTAGGAAAACCTGACCACTTCTGCATTAAGATTACAGAGCTAAGGGTGCCTGGGTGGCTCAGTGGGTTAAAGCCTCTGCCTCCGGCTCCGGTCATGATCCTGGGGTCCTGGGATCGAGCCCCACACTGGGCTCTCTTCTCTGAGGAGCGCCTGCTTCCTCCTTTCTCTCTGCCTGCCTCTCTGCCTACTTGTGATCTCTGTCTGTCCAATAAATAAATAAAATCTTAAAAAAAAAAAAAGAATACGGAGCCAGATATTAGTTAGGCATAGATTCTAATCACAGACATTCCACTACATGGAAGGAACTATTATAAATCTTAAAAACTTGCACCCTAACATTTTTAAAAAATTGGTAATGCTGACACATTTCTTTTTTTATTAATTATTTTTATTAACATATAATATATTACTTGCCCCAGGGGTACAGGTCTATGAATTGTCAGGTTTACACACTTCACAGTTCTCACCATATCACATACCCTCCCCAATGTCCATAACCTAAACTCCCTCTCCATAACCCCGCTTCCCACAGCAACCCTCAGTTTGTTTTGTGAGATTAAGAGTCTCTTATGGTTTGTCTCCCTCCATGTGATAGGGTCTATGCCCACTGATCACTGCAGACAACTGAAGAAAAACAAAACCAAAATAAATTGTCTTCAAACACCAGTGGTGTCCATGTAAGGACACTTGCCATACTCACTGCATTTTATAATACATGTTCCACAAATATTAGTTCCCCTCTTTCCTGGACATCACTAATTTTGGCATTCTATGTTTGATCGAAGAAGTGGTTGTCTCCCTTTTACATGTCCTTGCTTCCATCTCAGCATGTGTGTGCACCTTCTGGGATCTAAGGATGAGTTTCCTTTTTTGCTTTCAACAGCATACATGTTTAAAAAGAAGGGAAAAATAATAAGCTCAGAATATCTTATGAAAACCTAAAAAAAGATGTCTGAAGAATTGGCAATGCATACTGCCAATTTACACCTGCCATTTCTAAGTATTCAAGTTTCCACAGTAAGTCAAAATATCTGTTGAAAATAATGTTCTCTGAAAAGTCTACTGAGGCACATTGACTGGATTTCAGAGTGTCATTTAAGCTCAAGTTTTGAAATCATTATGTTCAGACAAGGTCCTTTGTCATCATGAACCTAGCCAAGGCCTCTATAATACACTATTACTTTTCTTTACAAGGTTATTTTACCTGGAATGATTTTTGTTTGTCCTAAGTGCAGCTAACACCATTTTCAGCTTCCTTCTGATACTACTGGGTAGGATCCAGTGACAGGTCAGAAAACTGAGTGGTTAAATTCTCTCCTCGTTTCAGAGTCATCAACTATGTGGGCAAAAAAAGACCTTATTAAGACCAAAAAACTGCAATACAAAAAAAAAAAAAAAGAAAAGATTAGAATATGACCCCAAAGAAATAAAAAATTATTAAAAAAATGTATCTTGCTTTACTTATTTACTATAATTCAAATATGAAGCTTTATTATATGAATGGCCAGTCGCAGGGAACTGGAATGTAAAGATCAGTAAGAATCTGGCAATGTATTATCAATTGGATAACATGTATTTGAAAACGTCATATAATCTCACAGAGGGTGTAACTGACTACTGGCTGAAATCAATTAAGTTTTATTGGAAATGAACACAGTAAATTGTTTTCCTGATCTCTGAAATCAGATTATGTAAGTTCTAGACAAGTATTACTATTATTACATAACTCTGTAAGTTAGTTTCTACTACAGTATTATTCTAATGCAAGTTAAGACCTACAAGAAATAAAACACTGGTTAGGTTTACAAAAATTACAAGACTTCTGGGCAACCTCCTTGGGTCCCCTCCCTCCTTAGGAGCTTTGTATTACCATTTGTTATCACTCAATAAACCTTGCATTGTTGCCCAAAAAGAAAAAAAAAAAGTCTTCTGGTTATCACCTGCATGTGAATCCCGAAAAAGTTAAACAGACTATAATGGTGGTTGCCTGGGGCTGATGGGGTGTGTAAAATGGAGATGCTGATCAAAGGGTATAAACTTTTAATTATAAAATGATTAAGTTCAAAGGATCTAATACACAGCATGGGAACTATAGTTAACAGTATTATAATATTCAAAATTTGCCAAGAGTAAATCTTAAATGTTCTCATCACAAGAAAAAAAAATGAACTATGCAAGGTGATGGATGTGTTAAATAACCTTGTTGTGGAAATCTTTTCACAATAGAGGTGTATAGTAAATCATCATGTATCATACCTGGAAATTACATAGTATAATTTATCAATTATATATTGATAAAGCTGAAGAAAATTACAGGACTTATAAAATTTTACATGACTGAAGAGTAATGAGTGTATGAAGGCAGGAAGCCACATCATTTTTATACACTTTTATATGAAGTCCAGTTTACCTATCATATCATATAAACACAAAATACCACAAATAACTCAAAATCATAAAGATTTAAGGTAACATTAACTATTAAATCCCAGAATTCTATTTAAAATTATTATTTAAACCACAATGAAAAATCTGTATTGATGTGCTATGTGTATATATTTATGAAATTACTGCCAATAAATGTGACCAGGAAATCAAGAAGTCATTGCCCAACTGTGCTTTAGATATAATGTGTAATTCACGTGAATAAGAATGGGATAAAACCATAAGGGACAAGTATTACTGCCATGAATGTTTGAAAACTCTTATGTCATTATGTGTTTACAACGGAACTATGTAGAAGCTCAGATCTAGCAATCCATAACAAAAGATCCACATTCATCTTACACTCAACATGCAATTATAGGAGTATCTGTGCCAAGTATTTTTTTCAATATGTGTTCCCACAATCAAGGTTATCAAACAACTAGGGACGTTCTAGGAAAAGAATATTACCACCAAATCAAAACACCCATTAGAAGTAAGCATCTTGCAGAATCTAGAGTTCTTGTCACTTACCTCTACCTTGCAAAAGTAGCCATCAACTTTACTTAAGGAAATATGAGAGAACAGGTTTTCTCTGAATATGATGCACAATCACTCATGCCAAAATCTAAGGATCATCTACATTAGCAGATCTATGCAAGTAGGAAAGTTTTCCTTTCAAAACAGGAAAAAGTACCATAAATTATTCAAAAGTTGGTCCAGAAAGGCCAACTGCATAGAAAATAACGCTCTTTGCATATCACACACACAATTTTGAGCAGAAGTTCTAAGTCATATATATCAGTCAATTTTATCTTAACAGAATTGCTTTGCCTTCAGAGATCCAGATCAATCAAGTACTTTGCCTGGTGCTCTAGTAACCAAGAAGTTCCACTGTAACATTTACAATCTCTAAAGTTTAAGTCTTACACCTGTCTTATATAAACCAACGAAACAGAGGTTACTACTGGCTACTTTACGTTCCCTTCCTGATAGTAGCCATCAATATTAGAAACTACTTTGGGAGAGACCATACAGATTTGGTGACAACAACTGCAGTGATTTTAAGGGTCCCTTTTCCTTGGGAGACTATTAGTTGAAAGGCCATGATGTAAAAGATGGAAATTGAAGGAGCACCTGGCTATCTCACTCAGTAGAGCACATGACTCTTGCTCTCAGGGCTATGAGTTGGAGCTCCACTTTGGGTACAGAGATTATTTAAAAACAAAATCTTTTAAAAAATTAAAACTAAAAGATGGAAATGGTGATATACACACAACACTTTTTATTAAACTCAAAGGAAAAGACACGATCAATCTACTGAAGCCTGAAGTTACTGAGGAATAAAAACCATCTTTAACTCATATTTTATAAGCTACTCTTACAATCAATAAGGACCAATACATTGCCCAGTTGAAAGCTTAGCAGTAAAACCTAAAAATTCTACTGTCTCCCTTTTAAAAGTGAGTTCACCATTGTTGCATAACCATCACAAACTAGACCCAGATATCTGGGCATCCCTCAGCTATTTAACTGGAAGATATTTCTCATTCCTCTAAACATTTCCAGTACACCACTAAGTGATGTGATTGGATAATTTGTACTCAAGAGTTATCAACTACATTTTAGGATGTAAGTTATCTGTATTTTAAGTAACACAACTTATCCCAAATAATGAAACCTCCCTAGTTCCCAGTACCCAGGCTCTTCCATTCATTTAAAAAATTTTTAGGGGCGCCTGGGTGGCTCAGTGGGTTAAAGCCTCTGCCCTCTGCTCAGGTCATGATCTCAGGGTCCTGGGATCAAGCCCCGCATCGGGCTCTCTGCTCAGCGGGGAGCCTGCTTCCCTCTCTCTCTGCCTGCCTCTCTGCCTACTTGTGATCTCTGTCAAATAAATAAAATCTTAAAAAAAAATTTTTAAATTAAGGGGCAACTGGGTGGCTCAGTTGGTTAAGTGACTGCCTTCTGCTCAGGTCATGGTCCTGGAATCCTGGGATGGAGTCCCACATTAGGCTCCCTGGAAGGCAGGGATTCTGCTTCTCCCTTTGACCTCTCCCCTCTCCTGCTCTCTTTCTCTCTCTCTCATTCTCTCTCTGAAATAAATAAAATCTTTAAAAATAATAAACTAAGTAAAAAAATGTATAAGTAAATACTTACTGGTAGGCAGTGATGATTATTCCAGTATCATATCATCTATTCTGATCACACAAGGCCCAAGGGCACTGTAAAAGCTCATCACCTGATACAAACTTCCATGAAAAGGAATTTCAAATGCTTTGATTAAATGAACAAAGTTTGTTTCAGTACCAGTTTCTTTCCATAGGTGGCCTTACACGGCCTTTCATCCCATCCCTCCTTCCTTTCGGGTATGTATGACATAGCAAAGAGGAAGATGCCATATGTAAGTCTTAGCCTATCTACTTAACCCCCTGGTTAAGGGTTTTCTTTGGTGTCATGGTTACAGACTAATACCAGTCAATGCACAAAGTAAAAGTTAGGAAGCTTAATCAGGTATCACAACCATTTTATCTTAAGAATCAAAGAGAAAATTATTTAAATGCATTGCTTAACAGAATTCACCTCATCCATAGTAACTGCAAAACCAGAAAAATCCCAGTCTTCACTTTGACCACAACAAAATCAACAGGCAAAAAAAGTACAACATACAACAGTACCTCGCAGTTTAATTGCTCTGTGCATTTATTAGCTAGTATTAATGCAGCAAGGAGGGAACAACAGCTCACAAACACTCTACACAATTTCACAAGACACATCGCAGGGAAAAAAGTGACTTTTTAAGAATGATCAACAGTATCCTAGGGTCTTGGTGGACGCATTCCTGGGGGAGGTGGACCTGGGGGGGAAAAAAAGCAAAATTCCATGGGACCATTAGAAAAACATCACATAAATATTAAAGGGCCCAGCTGGCACCAATGCACAAAAGCGTAGCCACTCACCTCTAATTCCCGGTGGAGGGGGTCTCATTCCTGGAGGGGGCATGCCTATTGGCGTCCCTCGAGCAGGGGGAAGTCCAATTGGTGGTCCCATGGGGGGTCTCATACCAGGTGGAGGAGCCATAATGCCTAGAGAAGAAAAATGGTAGAAATAAAGACCTCATAATTAAGCTCAGCTAAGATGACAGAATATAATACAAGAGAATATTTAAAGAAATGTGCCCAGATACTAAGTAGAGGGTTGAACAATTTCTCCTGGACCATTACCATGTAAGCCATCCCAACTCCATTAATAAGAGTCCACAGCTTTTCATTAAAAACTACTTAAAAAGAGGTTTAAAAGTGGGAAACAATCTAAGCAACTAGTTAGGTACTTGGGCTGTTTCTTAGTTCAGTATGTTCTTAGAATATTTTTTGTCGTCACTTCCTCCAAAAAATATTAATTTTTTCACGTAACATTACACACACACACACACACACACACACACACACACAAACACCACACACATATGTATTTGATATCTATATAGATAAATATCAAATTCTCTTACTTTTTATTATCAATTTCTTACCTGGAGGTGGTGTTGCTCGGCCCACAGGAGTGGGTGGGGTCCCCCGACCTGGTGGGTATTGAGTTGGGGCTCCGGCAATGCTGGCAGTAGCAGCAACTGCAGCAGCTGCTACAGTGCCTCTTCCCTGTGGAGTCATTACCTGACAAGGCATGGTCAGATATTGTAAAGGTAAGGCATATTCTCACATTATTTAAACAAAGTAATCAGCGGATACCATGGCCTATTAAATATGATATAGTAATTTTGTATTTCTCCCATTTTCATTTCAAAAATCTTAACACACTCATACATCCTCCTAAAACCCCACGTTCCTTATTTTCTTTTACTATTATTTTTTTTTAATTTATTTTCAGTGTTCCAGAATTCATTGTTTATGCACCACAACCAATGCTCCATGCAATACGTGCCCTCCATAATACCCACCACCAGGCTCACCCAACCTCTCACCCCTCTCCCCTCCAAAACCCTCAGTTTGTTTTTCAGAGTCCACAGTCTCTCATGGTTCATCTCCCCCTCCCAATTTCCCCCAACTAACTTCTCTCCATCTCCCATGTCCTCCCTGTTATTCCTTATGCTCCACAAATAAGCAAAACCATATGATAATTGACTCTCTCTGCTTGACTTTCATTCAGCATAATCTCTTCCAGTCCCATCCATGTTGATACAGAAGTTGGGTATTCATCATTTCTTTTCTTTTTTTTTTTTAAATAATTTCATCAGGAAATTTTTTTTAATCTTTTTTTCTTTTAATGATTTTATTTATTTATGTGACAGATCGCATATAGGCAGAGAGGCAGGCAGAGACAGAGAAAGGGGGAAACAGGCTCCCCGCTGAGCAGAGAGCCGATGTGGGGCTAGATCCCAGGACCCTGGAATCATGACCCAAGCAGAAGGCAGAGGCTTCAACCCACTGATCCACCAGGCGCCCCGGGTATTCATCATTTCTGATGGAGGCATAGTATTCCATTGTATATATGGACCATATCTTCTTTAACCATTTCTGTTGAAGGGCATCTTGGCTCTTTCCACAGTTTGGCGATTGTGGCCACTGGTGCTATGAACATTGGGGTGCAGATGGCCCTTATTTTCACTACATCTGTATAGTTGTGGTAAATACCCAATAGTGCAATTGCAAGGTCATGGCGTAGCTCTATTTTTAATTTCTTAAGGAATCTCCACACTGTTTTCCAAATACATTCCCTATTTTAACCTACTAAGTCCTTTCACATTTTTTCAACTTTTTTCTTGAAGATTTTATTTATTTGACAGAGAAAGATCACAAGTAGGCAGAGAGGCAGGCAGAGAGAGAGGGGGGAGTAGCCTCCCCACTGAGCAGAGAACCTGATGCAGGCCTTGATCCCAGGACCCTGAGATCATGACCTGAGACAAGACAGAGGCTTAACCCACTAAGCCACCCAGGCATCCCTCAACTCTGGTTTACCCATCCATATTTCTCTTTACTCACCCATTCTGGTAAGTTCCTCTTATCAAAGTGCCTTTAATCCTTTCCCCTTCTAATGTGTATTTGTCTTTCATCACCTTCTACAACATATGCTGCTTACATAGTATAGGATGTGCACTCAGGCTTTTAAATCTATTCGGCCTCTAGACATGTTCTCTAAATAATATAAAACCTTCTCCTATCTCCTCACCTGTTGGGAAGGCCCCCCAACCCCTCGGACAGGGCCTGCTAATCCAGCAGGAGCCTGGGGAATTGGAACACCAGCTGGCACTCCTCTGCCAGCTGCCCTGCCAACCCCAGGACCTCCTGCAGCTCCAGCAAGTGGTACCCGAGCAATTCCAGTCTGAAACAAGAAAAATTATTTGAAATCAAATTATTTACCAATGTCATGAATAATCTTATTCCTAAAATATCACTACCTCCCACTATTTTCTCACATCATCTAGTTTGTATTAGTTCCATATTCAAAGGAATAAACAAGTACACCATGGAGGCATTCAACACATTAAAAGTATGTATGTCAAATTTTTAGTACATATAAATCCGTCACTCCCACCCTTATATAGGTAGCCCCAGCACATAGAATAATTCATTGAAAAGTCCTTTATCACCATATATGGACAAGTAAAAACTGACAGTAAGTGCTGGGCACATTTTACTTGACAAATGTATATTATTATTATGCCTTATTGTACCTTCATTTAGCAAACATCTCAAATAATCTAAAGTCCTTCCACATTAATGTTCTGTCCTACCCTACAGCTTCCTTACATCTTTGGGGGGTGGTCCTTCCACAGTCATGGATACCAAGTTCTCCCCACGTAGTAACACCAGACCTAAAACACGCTTTTCTTCACGCTCTGGCTGCTTAGCATTCTTCGGCCTATAAATCAAAAGTAAACATTGCTGAGATTAAATTAGTGATGACTCACTAAAATTTAAGTTAGGTATCAACTAAGACAATAATTGATGGAAGATATTCATGCTCAGTTACTAAGTATTACTAAGTTATGACAAAACAAAGACCAATACAAAAACACTAGACTCACTGACATATAAGGATAAATAGTAAACCCCTTTCCTATCAAAATTTTTCAGAATGTTACCTCAATGTTTTATTTCAGCAATATTAATTTCTGCTTCGTTAAACAAAATGCAAATTATGCAGCTAAAACTTTTAAGACAAGTAAATTGTAATGTGTTTTCATGTTAACATGGGAAGTAATTTTTTTAAATCATATTTTAAGTAAATCTGGATGACAGACAACTAAAATAGTAACAATAAGAGGCAGTGTGTTCATACCAAATGATAAAGGCAAAAAAAAAAAAGGCTTTGAATAAGACATGACTATGCATTATTGGCATTACCACTTACATAATATAACTATAAAGTAAAATAACTATAATTAAAAACAAAATTGAAAAAAAAACTTGTGTAGTCACAACTGTCAGCAGCAAAAATCATATATTCATGAGGCATATACTATATAATATGGGTAAATCAACTGACAATGTCATTCAACAATCCTCACTTAGTATTATCAGAGAATAATGCGCAGTTTGAAGCATTATGCATGTGAAATTATCCTTGTATCTTAGTGAGAAAAGTGAAACAGAAATTAATATGCCTAAAACTCTCAAATACCTTTAGAATTTGTATTTTAGGGAAAAATCTGGATTATTTACACACACAAGAAAAAGCATTGAACCATGCCACCATCCTAGAATATCTTAAATAATCCTACTTGGTGTGCAGGGAGGAGATGGAGAATACATGAAAAGGGAAAGATGTGGAATAGGTTTTTGAATATGTTTTTTGCCTGAGAGGAACAGACTTAAAAGAGTACAGCAGACAACTCATGCTGAGCATTATCTTTTTCTGCATATTTAATAAAACTTATATGAAATAGGCAAATTAAACTTCTGGATATAAATGACTGTGGAAATAAAGTAAATAAAACCAAGAATCCAGGGTGATGCCTCACAAGTTCTACCCCATGATAAAAGCCTAAAACAAAGCCATCTTGAATGTCCAGAGGTATTACAAGCACCAGCTCAACTCCTCTGAATGAAAAGTCAACTGAGTGGAAATAGGATGCCACTAAGATCCACCAATTTCTGTGATCTTGCTGCAGTCAACAGCGCCCTGTGAAAGCAAGCTCCCTGGTCACAGGTATAAAGATGGTAGCCTAATACGGTAAGGCATAAACATAAAGGTTATTCCTGAAGAAATGAAGTGGGCAAATGATAAATACAATAAGCAAAAAGAATTAAGAATGGATACCAAATCAACACTGCACATGATGAATTTGGCCAAAACAAGGAACATGCAAAGAGGCTAGTAGAACAAATGCTGAACTTAGCCTGGAGTATTCTAATCATATCCCAACTCCTCTACCACTAAGACCGAATTGTTATCTGTGGGAGGCCGCAATAAGGCTTGAGACAAGGACCAAACCAGGCCCTGACTTGTGCCTCCTTTAAAGTCTGAATAACCTAACAAAAGGTTTAGGACGGGAAAAGTTGAGTAGCACTGAGAAAGGGTCTGTACTATGTGTTGTGCGCTCGCCTACACGACTTCCCACACGCTTGCTAAACAAATGATAACAATTCGGTTGGGGTCATAAGTTCATGGCTGGTCCTTGCTGCCCTAGTACAGCCCATAAATTACTTTCAGGTTTGCTGTATCAATACAGAACAATTGTACTGGCATCACCCATTTGGCGTCACAAGGTCTGCTTATAGTTAATTGTGAAACTTATTATGGGAACTCGTGGTTGCTTAACTAGACACAGATGTACTGCTTCTCCTATTGTAATATCACTATATATATGGCCTTAATGCTTTGAATAAACTTAGCACTGTTGGACATCCTCCTCAGTGCTCCTCCTGCCCCCATCTCTCTGCTTCTCGAGTTCTTTTCTTCATCCTCTTACCCTCATGTTCCTGGTCGATTTGTCATGCCGGCCATGACAGTTATCCTTAAGATTCCCTCAGGAATGCTGCAGAACCTAACCTATTAATAACATCTTCTAACTTCTTTTTTTAAAAGATTTTATTTATTTGCCAGAGAGAGAGAGAGAGAGAGATCACAAGTAGGCAGAGAGGCAGGCATAGAGAGGGGAAAGCAGGCTCCCCTTGGAGCAGAGAGCCCGATGCAGGGCTCGATCCCAGGACCCTGGATTCTTGACCTCAGCGGAAGGCAGAGGCTTAACCCACTGGGCCACCCAGATGCCCCATCTCATAACTTTTTAAATAAATGTAGATACTCTCTGTTCATACTGTGAGTTCTATTCCAAATTAAGTTCTTGTATGTTTGCAAACTTAAAACAGTAGTGTAAATACAGTGACTTTAAGACTGGGAGACCCCAATCCAATTCAGTAATGGTTTAGGTTGTGAGGCAATAGACTAGCCCTGCCACATTTTTCCTCCTCCCTTAACAGTTACCCTCTATAATTCCTTATTCCTATTACCCTCTCCCTCATTCTCCCACCAACCAAACCCAAAATGGTCTTACTTGATCTTTCTGAATTCATCACAATCACAGAGGATCAAGTTCATATGTTTGTCAAAAGCCTTAAACGTGCCAATGAAGATTCGGCCATCTTGCAAGATACATCTCATTCTATAGTCAATGTGCTGCAGCATCTTGCTGCTCTTTCCCACAGTCTGAAAGGAGTAAGAAAGTTGTCAGTCAGTCATAAGCCAGTTTGTAATTTTGTTATAACCTCCCCACCAGGTCTTCCCTATTCCTTTGTCAATCCAAACTTGGTTTCCTTAACACATCCTGCCTCCCTTGTTTTCTCCAAAAATCCCTTCAGTCTCAAGATACTGGACCCAATTTAGGCCCAGAACAACTATACTCCTCTGTGGAACCCTCTACTTCTCAGAATGTATCAAGTGTAGTCTCCCATCATCCTAACTATATTTCCCTAACTACATTTCTTCCCCAACAGAGTCACAAACCCAGTTTCATGTTAGTATTCTATCATTCTAATTAGTCTCCTTTCCCAATTTTAATCCCAAATCCCACTCTCTTTCAGAACACTCAACCCTATGGAGTATTTCTTTTCCCCTAGACCAATAGCCAAACAGTGGGAAATTCCTACCTCCATCAGAAACTTTCCAATTCCCATTGACCCAATGCAAACACAAACTATTATTTAGTTTCCCGAAGACCTTTATCCTAGTTATATCACACCCCACATCCCCTCCCCTTCAGAGTTTGGAACAGTTGTTTCTCAAACCTTTTTCAGTTTGATTTAACCTACTAAGTCACTTCTAAAAATATTTTTATCTTAAATTACCCACTCTACTTAAATTTTAATATGCTGATAATACTGTATCTCTATTTATATACTGTAGTCCTTAAGAAGACCACAAGCTATCATAAAATCTAATATTCCTTCCACTTTCCAAATCAATTTTTGCTGCCTTAAGATATCTTTCCTGTCGGGAATACAGGCTATAAGTAATCTAAACTTTAACAGAATGACAAAACAGATTATTAGGGTGTTTTATCTCTTTAGAAACTGTTCATTATTATGCATTTCTCATGCCCTGCATTACTAAACCCCTCCATCTTTAATGTAGAATTTATGTCTATTATAACCTGAGTCTTCTATCCACTGGATGGTCTCTTACTATTTTAAGTCATAAGGAAAACTCTCACATTTTCTCACATGTAATATCCCTCCTTAAGATATTTTCAACCACTTTATCACTACTATAGGATGACAGACATAGCTGTTCTTCAGTTGATACTTCACAATGAGATACCATCTCTTAAAGACTGATTTCTTATTTCTAACATTAAGAAACCAAAGATACCCCACACTCTGGTAAACCATTATACTAGGTCCTTCCAGTAGCTTTTCACCCTCCTGTCTTAATATACACCTTACCATGGTTGCTGTTCCACCAAATCCAATGTCCACAGGAAGGTTTCAGGATCCTTAAGACCTAAGAGAAGGCTACAGATAAAGGTATGACGCAGGTTCTCCTATAAACAATGCAAGCTTGGGGCAGAAGCTTCAAACAGTAGATGGGAGCCTGCAGAGGAAAGCATGATCTAGCTGCACTGAGATCTACCATGTTTAAAAACAGGCAGACAATTTTTCATGAAAATCATTTTAACAGACATGTTCAAAACACTTCCCATGTTCTTACACCCACCAAGTGAATACCAAATTTCACTATTCCCTCACCTTAATTCCCCCGTTTGTTTATATGACTATACGGGCAACTTTCTTAGCAGTCAAAAAATATGCATTATGATAAAAGTTGTTTTTCCCCAATATACTAATGAAAATGCTCTTAAGTCTGGCAACCAACAGAGTCAAAACTGGAAAAGGTCTCAAGCTACTAATTATACTTATTTGAAAAGTAAATACACAAATTAGACTTGAATGGGAATTTGGTTTTATGCATAGAAGTAACCCCATATCATAAACATAACTGATATGATTTTACTTTTAACAATACAGACATTTCTAGTAAAACTGTTCTGTTTTCAATAAAGGCACTTTTCAAACAACAATGTACACTGCTTAAGTAAATTATGAATTATCTATTTCAGGATATGAAAAAAAAATTATAGTGTGAACTGTAACATCGAAACAATAAGGTAAAAGAAATGTTTTGAGGATACAGTTTTCCATGTGGAACTACAGGACACTAGATCAGAAGGTAACAGAATGGTATGAAAGAAATAACTCAGTTAAAGTGGTAAGATGTAAATGTTTCTCCGTAATTACAAAAATGTGATGGTAGTTAAATATCTATGAGAATTTGGAGTACCGTATTGTCTAAAAAATAAATTCATCATTACTCAGAGTATCTCCTAAACTTTGTTCTCCAAATGAAAACTGCCATGCACCATTTGTGCCTTTTTTCTGAAAGACAATCTACCTATATCCTCAACACTGTCCACGCTTCTCTTTCTTAAAAAAGATTTATTTATTTGAGAGAGACTGTGCACATGCACGTGCACAAGCAGGGGGTGGGGGGTAGGGAAGGGCAAAGGAAGAATCAGACTCCCCACTGAGCAGGGAGCCTGATGCCAGCTGAGCCAAAGTCAGATGCTCAACAGACTGAGCCACCCAGGAATGCCTCTTAACATTTATCTTAACTGACAATAATAGCTATACACTTTTTTCTTCTCCCATCTACCTAATTTACATCTTTAAAGATACAATGACATCAGGGATAACCCCTTTTGTAACATCCAATATTTGTACATGAAATAACATTTTGCATAAAAGTGGCATGTAAAGATCTCAAAGGATCTATTCAAATCATCATACTAATGCACGCTCCCCTCCCCAAATAATTGTAGTTTCTTTTTAATTTAAATTCAATTAGCCAACATAGGAGTAGTTTAAGGCCTATAATATAGATGTTCTTAATCCTGACAGCATTATCTAGGAAGCAGAGTCTATAATCCTATACTTGTTTATTTTTAAATTAGCAACTCTTTTAGCAATTTTTATTTCTATAATATGTATCTATTACGAAATAAAGTCTTCAGCAATCTATTATAGAAGAAAGTAAATTATCTACAGAAATGGAAAAAAATAAACATTGAAACAGAAAGTAAATTATTTTTTTAAAGATAGCTTATTTTTTATTTTATTTTATTTGTTTATTTATTTATTTGGCAGGCAGAGAGGCAGGCAGAGAGAGAGAGAGAGAGAGGTGGAAGCAGGCTCCCTGCTGGGTAGAGAGCCCGATGCGGGGCTTGATCCCAGAACCCTGGGATCATGACCTGAGCCGAAGGCAGAATCTTTAACCCACTGAGCCACCCAGGCACCCCCAGAAAGTAAATTAAATGGTAACCTGAAGTTGGGTGTGGAAACAGAGAATGTATGTAAATGAGCATGAAGGATCTTACTTTGGTAATGCAACATCCTAAAAGTACCTGGCAATGGTTGCAAAAGTCAGTAAATTTATGAAAAAATTGGGTACATTTTATAGTATATAAAATATATATCAATAGAGCTGTTCTTAAAATGTAAAAAGTCAAGACCTTCACATAATATACAAAGTCTGTAACATTACTTTTTATATTGCCATTATTGAAAAAATAAAACAAAAACAAATAATGCTAACCATTCAACAAGACACTATTACTGGAGTACACCCCCTCTACCATCAACAATGGAGACATGCTACGAGACACTAAGCCACAAGACCGTGATTATTACAACAACAACAACAAAAATGTAGGTTTAGATTTCAAGATTTCATTTAAGGGAAAAATATAATCACTGAATAGTTTCTTATGTAAGGGTGTAATGGGACCCAGCATCAAATGTGCATTTAAGGTAAAATCTGTAGTCAGTCACCTTTCCAATGAAAATCTAAAATTCAGAAAAAAGACTTTTACCTTCAAATGCCAAAAAGATTCGAGTACAGATTTCTCTATCAGCTTCAGTTTAAATGTTCTGTCCCAACTGGCGTTTCAGTGAACACATAACCATCAGACCTAATTCATAGTTTAACTATAAGAAACCAACAAATCCAAAAAACATTTCCTTGTATAGTGGAAGAGTAAAATGGAAAGGCCGGTCGGTACTGTTTCTGTCCATCACCGAAACTGTTTGAGTTTCCAAACCCTTCCCACATCTACTAGATGTTGTTAGCCAGTTACCAAGTATAAAAATGTACCTAAAGATTTGAGTCATAAACTAAAGAACTGGTAACACGGATGTGTAATATAAAATAAAATATTCTATATAAGTAAGAGATAACACATTTTACTCACAACTCAGATTAAAGGTTAACTGAAGTGATTTAGTAAATTCCCTAAATTTAGCAAACCATAATCCTGAACTCTTGTAAGGGAAAGGATGTTTCACTTAAGAGATTGATCAAATTTATCTCCATAACAAATGACAGCAAAATCCTTCATGAAGTAGAGCATAAGAGCAGCAACATGACACCACACTGATGAATTAGCAGTTATGATAAATCTCCTTACATCAAAAAGCCATGTAAGCAAATAAATGGCCCCAGGTTCCTGACTGGGGCCCGGAGATTCCTCATAGGAAAAATTCTTAAACTTTTGGAAAGTCTGGACTTTCAAATGATTAAACTTTATAAAAATATAAGTGAAAAATATAAAAATATAAGTGAAAAGATAAGATGCTCTAACTTGGCCAAGATACATACAACAAATGAGAAATCATGTAATAATGGTAATGCATTAGTGCTCATTCAAATCTGGTAAAATATCACACCCCTCACAGAAAATGTGCATAGAAGTTAAACAATTAAAAGGAGAAAACACACATAAATGGGAAAGTACTCACCCACAAAGCAATGCCAATTAAAACCACACACACACACACACACACACAAACATCTTCCATTTTTGGAACTGTTTATTTATTAAAGAAACAGACACACAAAGATGATACTGAGAAACTAGCGCTAGTAGTAATTATCCTTGATGGTAATCAACAATGCTTATGATGCTGTCACAAAGCAATGTAACAATACATTTAAAAGTCATATGAATATGCATACCCTGCACTCCACAACTGCATCCTTATCCTAATAAATTTAGGATACCAAATGTATCTTTAAAATATAGAATATTTATAAAGCATAGCAAACTAGAAAAAAAAACAAGTACAAGGGAAAAGTAAATCATGAATGAACTATCATTTATTCATTACAAATGATAATTATGTTGACTATAGTAAAATGAAGAAATATTAGTGATATAAATTTAAGTGATATAAACACAAAATAAATTTATTTAAAAGCATGATTCCAACTAAAAAAAGCAAATGGGCAAAATGAAAGAAAATTCAATCATTTTTCCTTTTTTAATTCAACCTTATGCTGTGGTTTAAACATGGGTTTTAAAATCTTTGGTTTACCTCCCCATTTTTCTTGTCTATCACTTGGAAGCTTTAGATTTATATTGTAAAAAAGGAAACATAACACTTGTCAAAATGTCTTTAAAAACTACCCAATCTACATTTACTCTTTAGATATAATTCTTTAACATGGTTCTTAGACCTTTATCCTAGAAATTTATCTGGTTCCCTACCCTTTAATGTTTACTTTCATATACCTTCCTTCCTAATAAGCCCTTTCTCTTCACCACCTTCTATAATATTACTAGACCCCCTATTGTCTCAATTTGGTGTTTTCATCTTTAAATGTGATTCTCTAAGAAAGATGCCTGAGAACTTTCTTTTAAGGGAAAAGACAGTATTTCAAGCTTTGCCTGCCATTCAATCTGTCACAACTACTTCAATATGCTGTAGTGACAAATACAGCCACAGACTATACACAAATGAAAGGACAAGGCTGTGTGCCAATTAAAATTTCCTTTGCGAAACCTCTGGTGTAGCAAAAATAATCCTAGAAACTAGTGCTGGTTAACAAACACTTGAGACTAGAATAAAACATAAAATCAGAAAATCAGATGATCCTATATGCAAGATCATACTGTACGATTTAATTATTACAGGGATGCTTGGCTGGCTCAGTTGGTGGAGCATGTGACTCTGGATCTCAGAGTCATTAAGTTTGAGCCCCACATAAATAAATTAATTAATTAAATTATACTTAGGAACTATAAGAGTATACGAACTGCAATGAAGAGAAAAAAATTCCTGGTTAAAAAAAAAATCTGTTCTCAATCACTTAAAAATGGCTTTACTCTGGGGGAACAGCTGGGGACAATGCTCAGATTCTACTGTTTGAAATAAAGTCCAGTGCCCTGCAATCAGCTTCAGGTAATTACTGAAGAATGCTGAGTAAAGGATTCAGCTGGGGAGAATTCTTCTCAGAAAATTGGTTTCTATCTTTTAATTTAATACCAAAATAGTGGCTATAAACAGGCCCAAGTAATTTGAGTCAAGAGGTAATACACTAACAGAAATAGAAAATCTAGAATAAACTCATCTATAAAACTGTCTCTTGGTTTCTAAAAAGTATATTAAATCCTTTGGATTACAGGTACTCAAATCTTGAAATTTAAAAAAGGTCACATAAAACATAAAAAGACAGACTATAAATAAATCTATATCACATTGAAAATACCATGGATAACAATTTATTACATTGTCAGCTGAGTCAAATACACTGACATTGTCAGCTGATTCAAATACATTGTTAAAAAAAGTGAAAAAGACAAAACAAAAAAGGGATAATTAGTAAATATGCATGGAAAATTATTTAACTTACTTGATTATGAATGTGGTATGTATTTGTAATTCAGCAGGCAAAACTGATAATGTAATTAAAACAATCAATGCAGGTAAAAGTATATCGTAACTGGTATTCCCTTTTTTCAGGGTAACAGCGACTAATACTTCATAATACAATTAGAAAATGTACCTAAGCTTATATTTCTGATTTAGTTTATTTTCACATCTGCATATCAGAGGAGATGATCCTAATGTTATGCTCAGCAGTTCACTGAAGCTTTACTAAAACTACCAGGAAAAAGATTAAGTTTTTCACAAATGATAATTACAAAGCTTTCACTAGCAGGACATTCAGCAGCTATTTATAATGCAGTATGTTTATATAATATTAGTTGGAAAATCAACAGAAATTAGACACAAATAAAACTACCTAAAAAGCATGAACTAGAATGACTGGGAAACTAAGTGTTGGATTAAGACGACCAAGGTCCTATTGCTTGATTTTACTTTTTTGATCTTTCTGCAATGTGCCTACAATAAGAACACTTTTATTTAATTTTAATTAGGAAATTTTTAAGAAAAAAACTTATTTCAACACATCCCAAATAATTAAGTGACCTCCAAACACATTATTTATTTATTTATTTTTAACCATTACTGAATTAATTCTAACCTGGTTTTTCACTTGGAAATCAGCTACCTGGATGTTCCAATAACTGCTTTAACCACCTCTCGGTGTCTCAGCTAAGAATGCCTGTCTCAGTTCCGCCTGGAAATCCACCACAGGTATTTGCTGCTGCTGAGATCTCCTTGGGTACAGCTGACACCTATGACCAGAGCACAATACATTAAAATGAATATAAATGGAAAGAGAAAATTAAAAGGATAACAATATGAAAGAAAATGTGTAGATCCTTACATTAAGGAGAGCCTCAATTGGGGTCAGAGCTTCCCATTATCTTATAAAGATATTCTAAGAAACAGGAGTCTCTGTACACAGAACGTGCAAGGAACAGAAGGACACTTACTACTTTGGGGATACTACACAAAGAAACTTTAAAATTAAAAAAAAGTTCTTTTGTTTTAAAAAACCCTGTGGAAAAAACATCAGAACCATATGCATCACTCACTTTCCTATCTGAAAACAATTCTTTAACCCTTAGCAAGAAGGAGGCATTTGCTAAGGCATTTCCGGCAAGACATTAAGGCTGTTAGCCATACGGAATACTCCAAGGAGTAACCATCTGAAACAAGGAAATACCAGAGCCCAAGCTTTTAGGTTCTTGAACTATATAAACTACCTACCTATTAGTTGGAAGGGAATTCCAGACAAAAGTCCTCAACATATCTCTATGGAGCAGTTATTTGGCTGTGAATCTGATTCTATGAATAATGATTTAGAAGTATTGCTGGCTAACAAGTCAAGCATAAAAATAAATCACCAGCAATTCTGTTCTTGCTAAGTGTGTGTGTATGTATGTATCACACACATATGCATTATATATATGTATGTGTCTATTTATGAAACTACTCAATAGTTACATTTGGAAACGGGCCTGAAAAAAGGTATTCCACGGTTTTCCTAGTTTTTAAATACACTTTAAACATTCTGTTATATAATAACAAATTAGATTGGACTTTGTCCATGGCTCATGGGAGGTAATCTCTAATTTCTCAAATTTACCAAGTGATAGAAATATCTTCATTATTCTTGATGGGCCCCTTGGATCACACCTGAGCTAATGCTAACAAGAGGATTCAGGATAGGGGCTGGCCAAGCCACAAAGAGCAAGTATGTGATTAGAGTGTAGGGCCATGGACCTGACCTCTTGGGAAGGGATGGCATCAAGGAAGACGGAGTTCAACCCCATGCTGAATGATTCAATCATGTTTAAATAATGAAATTCTAATAAAAACTCTAGAAGACAGGGTGCCTGGGTGGATCAGTTGGTTAAACATCTGCCTTCAGCTAAGGTCATGATCCCGGGGTCCTAGGGGTCCTGATATCAAGCCCCATGTCAGGCTTCCTGCTCAGCAGGGAGTCTGCATCTCACTCTGCCACTCCCTCCACCCACAACCCATGCTCTCTCTCTCTCTCAAATAAATACATGAAATTTTCTTTTCTTTTTCAATTTTTATTTTTTTTCTTTTCAGTGTTCCAGAATTCATTTTTTATGTACCACAACCAATACTCCATGCAATATATGCCCTCCATAATACGCACCACCAGGCTTACCCAACCTCCCACTCCCCACCCCTCCAAAACTCACAGATTTTTCAAAGTCCACAGTCTCTCATGCTTCATCTCCCCCTCCAATTTCCCCCAACTCCCTTCTCCTCTCCATCTCCCCTTGTTCTCCATGTTATTCCTTATGCTCCCCAAATAAGTGAAACCATATGATAATTGACTCTCTCTCTGCTTGACTTATTTCACTCAGCATAATCTCTTCCAGTCCCATCCATGTTGCTACAAAAGTTGGGTATTCATCCTTTCTGATGGAGGCATAATACTCCATAGTGTATATGGACCACATCTTCCTTATCCATTCGTCCATTGAAGGGCATCTTGGTTCTTTCCACAGTTTGGCGACCGTGGCCATTGCTGCTATAAACATTGGGGTACAGATGGCCCTTCTTTTCACTACATCTGTATCTTTGGGGTAAATACCCAGTAGTGCAATTGCAGGGTCATAGGGAAGCTCTATTTTTAATTTCTTAAGGAATCTCCACACTGTTCTCCAAAGTGGCTGCACCAACTTGCATTCCCACCAACAGTGTAAGAGGGTTCCCTTTCTCCACATCCTCTCCAACACAGGTTGTTTCCTGTCTTGCTAATTTTGGCCATTTGAACTGGTGTAAGGTGGTATCTAAATGTGGTTTTGATTTGAATCTCCCTGATGGCTAGTGATGATGAATACTTTAAAAAAAACAAAACAATCTCTAGAAGGCACCCAAAGTTCTGGTGAGCTTCCTGGTTGGTGATATATATACACTGATGAGCTCAGAGTATTACAACCTAAAGTCATGAAGTTATGGATCGTGTCCTAGGAGTCTCTACGTTTGGCTTATCCTGATTGGTATCTTCTATAGAAATCTTAATAGTAAGCGTAGTGCTTTTCTTTTGTGCTGTGAATCATTCCAACAAATTATGGAACCTGAGGAAACAGTGGAAACCCTGAATCTCTATCTGGAAGTTCAGAAGTGCAAGCGGCCTGGAAACTCGAGGACTCGCAATTGGTATCTGCACTGAAGGTAATCTTAGGGAGGGGACTGTACCCTTAACATGTCAGATCTGCACTAGCTCCATTAAGAATCTGAATTACACTGCTCATGCTTTTAAACTGTCACATTTTTATTGTCCCATTTTATTTTATTTACTTATTTATTTCCAAAACGCAACTAAGAGTCTCACCTAATATGATTCTAGAAGTGTTTCAGAGAAAAAAAATATATTCTTTGGCATTTTAAAACTCCTGTTGGAGTGTTCCTCTTGGTTAACCTGAAACCCAGCTGTAGACTAAATTAGAATTGAGAAAATAAAATGCAATACAGATTTCATTTCATAAAATGCAAATATAATTTAGAAAGACATCCAAAAGGATGCATAAAATATACTTTCCAGGAGACTCTCCAGCCCCCATCTCCAAATTCTCTCAAATTTATAATACATCAAGAAATGGGAAAGACATTCACCAGCCCCAAAGATCAAAAACTGATTTACTTGATAGATCTATTGGAAGATGGTACAACCATAAATTCCAAGAATAAAAACCAATGAGCTTCTATTAACAATAACTGTTGGTCTACGAGAGGTTTTGTCTGCATCGTTTTGGTTTTTATTCAATTTTGCTTTGTATCTTAGATGGAACATGAATAGCAAATCTTTACTAGCATTATAACCAGTACCACACAATTTCTCTGGAATACTGACTTTTAGTACTTATGGTCTGGGAAAACGTGGGATATATATTGATGAGTTATCATTAAAATAAACAGACTACAGCTATTAACTATCCAAATACTGAAAGAATTCTGAGCATACGTATCAGTATGCAAAGCTTATTAGCAAGTAACAATACTGCTTACCCATTTTATAATACACTTACTCTCAAAATGAGAGAAATGACTGGGGAAATTACACTATTTCCCTAACTTGAAACTCCCCTTCCCCATTTAGCACCCTGTAGTATTTATATATAACAGCAGAGGTTAGGAAATGAACTTATTTCTTCTTTGAAAGCAATAAAATGTTTCCATAGATTTGGACAAGAAAATGACACCTAAAAGAGGGCTTAGAGATAGTTATGAGATTTTATTATGCTGGTTCACACTAGTCCTGTGCAAGATAAAGGCTCTAACAAAATTTAACTACAATAAAACCATTATCCACTAACAAAAGAATCTCCCTTCAAAAGAATCCCCTATACCTCAACTACAATCTTTTTTTTTTAAAGATTATATTTAGTAATTTAAGAGAGAGAGACAGAGCACAAATAGGGAGAGAGGCAGTTGAGTGAGCAACAGTCTTCCCACTGAGCTGGAGCCTGATGCAGAGCTCAGGCCTCCATCCCAGGACCTGGACATCATGACTTAACCATCTGAGCCACCCTGGCACCCCTCAACTGCAATCTCTAAACATCCTTAAGATACTTCCAGAGGACCTGGGTAAAAATAGCACTTTTTTAAAAAAAAGATTTTATTTACTGGGGCGCCTGGGTGGGTCAGTGGGTTAAAGCCTCTGCTTTCGGCTCAGGTCGTGATCTCAGGGTCCTGGGATCGAGCCCCGCATCGGGCTCTCTGCTCAGCGGGGAGCCTGCTTCCTCCTCTCTCTGCCTGCCTCTCTGCCTACCTGTGATCTCTGTCAAATAAATAAATAAAATCTTTAAAAAAAAAGATTTTATTTACTTATTTAACAGACAGATCACAAATAGGCAGAGAGGCAGGCAGAGAGAGAGAGAGGGCAGGGGAAGCAGAATCCCTGCTGAGGAGAGCCAGATGTGGGGCTCCATCCCAGGACCCTGGGATCATGACCTGAGCCGAAGGCAGAGGCTTTAACCCACTGAGCTATCCAGGTGCCCCAAAAATGGCACTTTTAAAATCTCTGAAGTTATATGGGATGCCTGGGCTGCTCGGTCATTAAGCATCTGCTTTTGGCTCAGGTCATGATCCCAGGGTCCTGGGATTGAGTCTCGCATTGAGCTCTCAACTCAGTGGGAAGCCTTCTTCTCCCTCTCCCACTCACCCTGCTTGTGTTCCCTCTTTCACTGTGTCTCTCTCTGTCACATAAATAAATAAAATCTTTTAAAAAAAAGCTTTTAAGTTACAAAAGACATTACCATACAAGAGAAAATTAATATGGCAAAAGGTCTATTATAAAGGACAAATTATAGGGGCAACTTGGTGGCTCAGTTGGTTAAGTGACCAAACTCTTTGATTTTGGCTCAGGTGAGGATCTCAGGTTGTGGGGTTGAACTCTGTTCCATGCTCAGCAGGGAATCTCCCTGAGAATTTTTTCTCCCTTTGTCCCACCCCCTCTCACTTGTGCATGGCTCATGCTCTCTCTCCCTTGTTCAATAAATCTTTTAATTTATTTTTTTGTTGGTTAGAACCTATTTTATCTTATTTTACTTTATTTTTATTATGTTATGTTAATCACCATACAGTACATCATTGATTTTTGATGTAGTGTTCCATGACTCATTGTTTGTGTATAACACCCAGTGCTCCATGCAATCTCTGCCTTTCTTAGTATCCATCACCAGTACATCTTTTTAAAAATAGAACAAATTATATAGAATATCCATTCAGAAGATACTTCTTTTAAAGAAGTTTCCAAACTAAAAATGTAAAGAATAATGAGCTCAGAAGAATAAACAAACAGGGAAAATGGGGAAATTGCTAGCCTCACCAGTAATTCAAAATGTGCAAGTGAATATATTGCAATTTTCCCATATAAAATAAGAAAATAACAGAAATAGAAGACAAAATTTTACCTCCATTTTATAACAGCCTTTTTAAAAAAGCTTTGTATTTGAGGAACTGAAATAAAATGTAAATAATTAATATTAAAGAATATTAACTTTCAAATTGACTGCCCTCATCTTTGTTGATAATAGCTAAGAAATGCAAACCTATCTATCAGTAAGCTAATAATAAATGAAATTATTAAACCACCCATATTCTACAATTTCTAAAATAAAGTATTTGTACGTACTGACATAGCAAGATCCCCAAGACATATTGTTGCAGAACAATAAATATCGCATATGTAAAGAGATCACAAGTATGCTTCCATTCCTCTCCCAGCTTCCATGTGTGCATACACATAAACAAACAGGAAAAGGTATGAAAGTATAGACATCTACATATCTATGGATCCTCTCTAGGGAGGGAAGGGGAAAGGACAGATGGCAAGTTGAAGCAGATACTTTCTATCTCAAAGTTATGTGTTTTATAAAGAGACAATATTCATGTACTTTTAATATGTGTAATTTTGGATAATAACTAAAATAGCTTTAGGAAAATAAAAAGAATGCTACATACTGATTCTGTCAAGATTTGTGATAATAACAAAATGGAAGATCCAATAAATACTATGTATCAGGTGATTCAAAATGTTGGTATATTTTGTTAAAATCCCCCTTTTGGAAACCTAAATTTAAAAGTGTCGGGGGGTATCAGGGTGGCTCAGTTGGTTAGGTGTCTGACTCTTGATTTTGGCTTGGGTCATGATCTGGGGTCCTGGGATGGAGTCCTGCATCTGACTCCATGCTTGGTAGTGAGTCTGCTAGAGATTTTCTCTCTCTTTCCGGTCCTCCCCCAGCTCCATCTCACACTCTTTTTTTCCTAAAATGAATAATTAAATCTTTTGAAAAAATTAAAAAATAAAAGTGTGTGTATCTATGTGTAGATATCCTATGTAAGAAGAGGAACAAATGGGGGTGCCTGGGTGGCTCAGTGGGTTAAGCCTCTGCCTTTGTCTGAAGTCATGATCTCAGGGTCCTGGGAATGTACCCCATGTTGGGCTCTCTGCTCAGCAGGGAGCCTGCTTCCCCCTCTTTCTCTGCCTGCCTCTCTACCTACCTGTGAACTCTCTCTCTGTCAAATAAATAAATAAAAGCTTTAAATTAAAAAACAAAGAGGAACAAAAGTACACACTTCAAGCATTTTTTAAGATTTTATTTATTTGAGGGGTGCTTGGGTAGCTCAGTTGGTTAAGCAGCTGCCTTCAGCTCAGGTCATGATCCCAGGGTCCTGGGATCGAGCCTTGCATCAGGCTCCCTGCTCAGTGGAGAGCCTGCTTCTCACCTCTCCCTCTGCCTGCTGCTCTGCCTACTTGTGCACTCTATCTCTCTGTCAAATAAATAAGTAAGTAAATCTTAAAAAAAAAGATTTTATTTGAGAGAGAGAGCACGACTGAGAGAGCAGAAGCAGGAGAAACAGAGGGAGAGAGAGAAGCAGGTTCCCTGCTGAGCAGGGAGCCCAATGCAGGGTTAGATCTCAGGACATGACCTGAGCCCAAGGCAGTTGCTTAACTGACTGAGCCACCCAGGTTCCTTACATTTTAAGTTTTTAATTGGATAAATATACTAATGAAAAATAAAAATCTGAATAATGCAGCATATGCATGAATACATAAATTAGCATTTGGTCAATGAATTAAAAAAATGCAAACATAGAAGTGAATTTAGTAACAACATAAATTAAACAAATAATTTTAATATCAAAGTTGAAGGATTTAGAATTTTATTGATAAAACCACCTACACATTTGGGAAAAAATGCATCTTACTGAAATTTTTAACATAAGTTAGTACTACCTGGTTAAGGTTGATTCGACTGTTTTGCTATATCTTCTCTAAATTGGTTCTCAAACGAGACTACTCACTCTTGGTTGCTCAGTGAGGCTGTCCTCCTACGTTTGACTTGGACTTCCACCTCTGGCACGTGCTGTTCTGTAGTCCGTCTCAGGTGTAAGCGGTCTCTGAAGCAGAAAGAATAATTTATTTGATAAGACTTCATCAATTTTAAAATAACCACTTACTTAAAGGCTATATTTATTTTTAAAATGTTTTATTTGAGAGAGTGAGCAAGTGAGAGAGAGCACAAGCAGGTTGAAGGGCAGAGGAAGATGCAGACTCCCCACTGGGCAGGGACCCCCCCCCGCAATGTGGGACTTGATCCCAGATCTCCAGGACCATGACCTAGCTTAAGACCAGAGCATCGACTGAGCCTCTAAAGGCTGTATTTAAAACTATATTTAATATGACGGAGTTTTTAAAGTGCTTATAATCAGGGCACCTGGGTGGCTCAGTGGGTTAAAGCCTCTGCCTTCAGCTCAGGTCATGATCTTGGGGTCCTGGGATCAAGCCCCGCATCAGGCTCTCTGCTCGGCAGGGAGCCTACTTCCTCCTCTCTGCCTACGTCTCTGCCTACTTGTGGTCTCTGTCTGTCAAATAAATAAATAAAATCTTAAAAAGAAAAAAAGTGCTTATAATCCAATTAAAACAAGGTACAGTGATAATGTATGCCAATTGTATCTCAATAAAAATGGTGGAAAAGAAAGGAGGCAAAATTTTAATGACAATATCCTCCAGTAGTCAGGATCTACCCTAAAGTCACTTCCTCCCTTTAGAAGACCCTTAATGTCAGAGATGCCTGAGTATCTCAGTCAGTCAGGTCATGATCTCAGGTGGTGAGATGGAGCCCCTTGTCAGGCTCTGTGCTCAGCAGGCTGTCAGCTTGGTTTCTCTCCCTCTGTCCCTACCCTCACTCACAAGCACACTCTGTCTCTTTCCCCCTCACTCTCTCAAATAAATAAATCTGTGTTTAAAAAAAAAAAAAGCCCCCAGAGGTGCAAGAGTCTGGACGGCTTAGTCAGTTAAGCGTCTGCCTTTGGATCAGGTAAGATCTCAGGTCCTGGGATCAGGTCCCACCCATATCTGGCTCTGTGGGGAGCCTGCTTCTCCCTCTGCTGCTGCTTCTGTTGTCTCTCTCTCTCTGTGTCAAATAAATAAACAAAATCTTAAAAAATAAAAAAAAAAACCCTGACAGCATGAGATATCAGAAAACTGGGGGCTTGGATATATCAGAGAAATAAGCAAAAAGAAAATATTTATTTCCACGTTTTTATATATACAGATATAAAGCTATACATTTACAGAGATATATGCACTAACCTCCTACCCATACCTACATCACCTGAAAAAAACAGCAATGTTGATTCCAAAACTGGCTTGAAAATATTTTAAAGATACTTTGAATTTATTTATTTGAGAGAGAGAGAGAAGTAGGAAAGGGGGGACAAAAAGGAAGAAGCATATTCCCTGAATAGGGAGTCTGAAGAGGGACTTGACTCCAGGACCCTGAGGTCATGACCTGAGCTAAAGGCAGACATTTAACTGACTGAGCCACCCAGGTGCCCCTGGCCTGAAAATATTTTATTGGGACAGATCTTTTAGTATAATGGAAAGCGTTAACATTTAAATTATAAAATTTCTACTGAAGCAACCCCCTGTGCAAACGCTGTTTTCCTAGGATTTATAAAACAAGAAATAAAAAGGATGCTTAAACAAAAACTAAATACATAAAACCAACATATCTACCACTGTCTGATGATCGGCAGAACAGCTCACAAAATGGCTGCTCAAAGGATGTGAGCATGTACATCTCCCACCTGGGTCATCCATCCATGTTAGAAACTACAGGAACCACTCTTAAAACTGCAACTTAACAATGCTAATCAGAGAGGATAGCATAAACAGGATTTTACAAGTCATGCAATGTAGTATTTCCATGGCAGAATTCAAAAGAAGCATCCCCCAAACTAATTCTTTGAACCCTTGTTATTTTCGAATTCATGTTAGATTATGCAAAGTAACCCAATCAAATAGCTTTCCAATAAGCCCAAGTTCTTTTACTGCTTAAAAAAGCTTTACTGTTTCAATCAAGCAATAGAAATCATTTAAAAAGCATATATGTACATATCAGATTTTTTAAATGATAAAAGTATATAATTTACTATTCTCTTGACCTTTGATTAGGCAATGGTTTTCTTAAGATACCTGAAGTACCTGAGAAAGGAATCCTTAAGTTGGATTTCATCTGAAGTAAAAAATGTATTTGCTTCAAGGGCACTTTATGTACAGCTGGCCAGCCAAAGGGGAGAAAATATTTGCAATTCGCACAGCTCGAGTACTCTTACAACTCAATAAAATGAAAAAAGAAACTCAACTTAAAAATGGATGAAAAGATTGGAACAGACATTTATATGAGCACTAAAAAAATACTTTATAACACTACAGTTATTAGGGAAATGCAAATAAACACTACAAACATACCACTTCATAGCTCCAGAGTGGAGGAGGTGGAGAAACAGGTAGTGGGAATGTGAAATGGTGGAGCTTCTGGCACTTCCTAAAAATGTGTACCATGGGGACGCCTGGGTGGCTCAGTGGGTTAAAGCCTCTGCCTTAGGCTCAGGTCGTGATCCCAGGGTCCTGGGATCGAGCCCCACATCGGGCTCTATGCTCAGCAGGGAGCCTGCTTCCTCCTCTCTCTCTGCCTGTCTCTCTGCCTACTTGTGATTTCTCTCTGTCAAATAAATAAATAAAACCTTTAAAAAAAAATGTGTACCATGGAGTTAGCATATGACACTAATCCCACTCCTAGAGGGAGTAAAATTATGTACTGCCAAACTGAACATAAGAGGGAGTAAAAAATATATATATATATAAACGTGAGTGTGAATGTTCCCAGCAACATTTATCGTAGAGCCAAAAAGTGGAAAGCACTTAAAGTACAACCACTAAAAAAATGGATAAACCAAATATGGTGTGGTATGGTATAGTCAACACAATAGAAACGTCATTCAGTGCCAAAAAGGAAGGACGTATTTATTGATCAAACATAACTTCACAAGTATTTGTTAATATATTAAAATTATGTAATAAAAAGAACCATAATAAACCTTTATGGCTCATAGGCCATCAATTATGATTGATCTAATCGTATAATTGAAAATATTCCATTACCAAAAAAATAAAGAAATAAAAATCTTCAGTTCTTTTATTCCTTCATAGCAGTTGCTCAGTATGAAAAGATCTGAGTTCATGGGATAAATGAAACAGCACATGAAATTATTCAATTTTCTAAATCCATTTTTATTTATTTATTTTTTTAAATTTTATTTGTTCATTTGACAGACAGATCACAAGTAGGCAGAGAGGCAGGCAGAGGGAGAGGAGGAAGCAGGCTCCCCACTGAGCAGGGAGCCCGATGCGGGACTCGATCCCAAGACCCTGAGATCATGACCCGAGCCGAAGGCAGACGCTCAACTGACCAAACCACCCAGGCTCCCCTAAATCCATTTTTAAAGCTACATGTAAAATCATCAAAGAGCAGCATTGTTTTCACAATATAGAAAGTATATTCTAAATATACATACATGTGAATGCATTTACAATCTTCTACTGCATTCCCAATCTAGAAACCAGCTTTCAGAAAATAAGCATTTAAAGGAAAAATAGAGAGGTGCCTGGCTGACTCAATCAGTGAAACATGCAACTCTTGGGTTCAAGCCCCACACTGGATGAAGAACTTACTTATAAATGAAATCTTAAATAAATAAGTAAACAATAAAGGAAAAAGTGATGGGGTTTGTTGGCTCAGTTGGTAGAGCATGTGACTCAGTTTCAGGGTTGTGAGTTCAAGCCCCACATGTGGCAGAGAATACACTTTTAAAAGTTAATGAAAAATAGGGAAAAAATTCTATGGGCACAATGTTAATTTTTTTGCTCCAAAATTGCTTTCATTAAAAAAATAATACTAATTTGGAAATACACTGAGAAACAAGTGATGAGATCAACACAATGTTTTTCCAAATAGCCTAACATTCTTTCAAATATATAATATGCCTTACGTTCTGCCCAAAATAACTAGTAAAAATTCAACTACTAAGATCTCAAGAACAAAAAATTAAAGAAAGAAAATGTGAGGTAATCTTAATCTACAGATCTTCCCATAATCATGAGAAAATCAGTGCCTCTAAGCCAAAACCTGTGAACCAACAAAAAGCAAATTCTAAGCCAGCCAGCATTCAGGAACTAGAAGACAAAATAAGTGACTCCCTTACACAACCATTGCTAGTGAGAGAGGCAACCTTAACCATCAACAACTCTTAAGCTTTATGGCTCTGGGCCACAAAAGTGGAAGAGGAAAAGGACACAAGCAATAAAATCCTAATGTACACTGAAGAAAGATAACAAGTCTCATTGTCCCTGTCATATTGAGAAAATATCCATACCCTGCTTATTAATTCAAGGATTCTTTCTATATATAGCTAAGTAGCAGAGTACAGTGTCAAAGTAAGAGATTAAACTCAAAATGGAAAGACCTAAATGTGAGACCTGAAACCATAAAACTCCTTAAAGAAGATATAAGCAATAATTTCTTGGGACGTTGGCCTGAGCAACATTTTCCTATATATAGGTCTCCTCTGGCAAGGGAAACAAAAACAAAATTAAACTATAGGGTCTACACGAAAATAAAAAGCTTTTGCAAGCCATGGACAACATCAACAAAACAAACAGGCAACCTACTGAATAGAAAAAGGTATTTGCAAGTGATATATCTGATAAGTTTATGTAATATAATGTATCTGATAACGGGTTAATATATAAATAACAAAAAACCCAATGCATGCATGTACAAAAACACACAAATCAAAAATCCCATTAAAAATGGGCAGAGGAACTGAGCAGACTTTTTTTTTTTTTCAAAGATATAGAGAGAGCCAACATACTCTTAAGATGCTCAACATCACTCATCATGAGGAAAATGCAAATCATTAACATCATGAGATATCACCTCAAACCAGTCAGAATGGCTAGTATCAAAAAGACAACTGGGCGCCTTGGGTGGCTCAGTCATTAAGCATCTGCCTTCGGCTCAGGTCATGATCCCAGGGTCCTGGGACCAAGGGCCGCATCCAGCTCCCTGGTCACGGGAAGACTGCTTCTCTTCCTCCCACTCCCCCTGCTTGTGTTCCCTCTCTCACTGTCTCTCTCTCTCTCTCTTTCTCTCTCTCTCTCTCTGTGTCAAATAAATAAATAAAACCTTTAAAAAATACAAGAAATAAGTCTTGGTAAGGAAGTGGAAAAAAGAAACTCACATGCTCTTGGTAGGAATGTAAACTTTTTCAATCACTGTGGAAAACAGTATATACGTTCCTCAAAAAATTAAAAATAGCAATAGCACATGATCCAGTAATTCTACTTCTGAGTATTTACGCAAAGAAAACAAAAGCACTAATTCAAAAACATACATGCACTCCTGGGTTTGGCTGCAGAATTATGTATAATAGCCAAGGTATTAAAGCAACCATCGAAGTGTCTGTCAATAGATGAATGGATAAAGATGCAGTATATAAATACAGTATTAATCAGCTATAAAGAAAATTTTGCCAGATTTTACAAGATGGATGGACCGAGAGAGTACTATGTTAAATGAAATAAGTCAGAGAAATTCGAATACCTTACTATTTCACTTATGTGTGGAATAAAAAAAAAAAAGGAACAACAACAAAAAAACAGAAACAGGCACCCAAAAGTAGAGATGAAAGTGGTTGTTACCAGAAAAGAGAAGGTGGAGATGGACAAAATGGTGAAGGGAAGTGGGAGGTACAGGCTGGGGATGCAATAGGGAATATAGTCAATGATATGTATTTTAACAGCACTGCATGGTGACAGAGGGTAACTACACTTATGAACACTGCAGAACAGAGTTGTTGAATCACTACATTGTACACTTGAAACTAATGAAGCACTGTGTGTCAACTAAACTCCAATTAAAAAAAAAAAAGATTAACTTTGAGACTTTGACATCTTAAGTGTGGAATTAAAAAAAAAATCTGAGCACATTCAGAGGAAAGGACAGGAATAAAGATGTCACATCACCACATATGAGGAAAGGATTTCAGCAATGAAAGGTGGGACAGATGCACTGTGCAAACAAAGATAATACAAAATAATCTGAATAAATCCAAACTAGACACTACCTTGCCTTAAGTAGCAATACAACCATCCCTGAACTGTTTCCTTGCACTAAATCACAGAAAGGGTTCACAAGGCCTCGTCATTTTTCCAAAAGTCCTGATACTAAGCCAAATATTCAGTGGGCAGGGCAGAGACCTTGAAACTTCAGAGGTCTTTCCAAAGGGATCCGCCATATTGACATCCTGAGCCTGCGTGTAAAACTACAAAATGGCTGACCAAGGTAATACACGCTCATTTTCTAAATATCCAAAATGATCAGAAGTTAAGCAAAATATATTTGAAATAGTATATGTATATGAGTAGGAAAAAATGAGCAAACCGTACTTATGGCAGAATTCCAAATTCCTGCTATTTTTAAAACTACTCAAAAAGAAACAATTTCCATAACAAAGCTTTCCAAGACTTCTGGGTTTGTTTTCCTTAATTACATTCCAACTTAGCACAACCATATTTGTTTGTGATAGAGGGCGGGGAAAGAGAAAAGCCTGCCCACCAGCATTCTGCAAAGAAAAACGAAGTCCTTGAAAATGCTCCCCTCCAAAGGTGGAATACAGAATACAGAATAGTTACTTTGTTAATTATATATTCTCACCAAATTTTCACAGTAGCTCCCATTTCAAAAATGATGGATAAAAGCATCACTTTAAAAACTGAACTGGGGCAAGAATTCCCTTATCCAACCTGTACTTACAGCCGTGTAGCATTCTACTTTTTTGATTCTCTGCTCTGTTCCTCTTCAGCAAACAATACTTACAGGTCTCAGCTCCTAAGAACCCTGTAGGAGCCCTGACCCCCGATTTAAGGAAACTGTATATAAAGGCTGCATCACAAAAAGAACATCCACACATTAAGAAATATGACAGACTCTTAAAGATGATGCAGTCCTACAATTATCAAATCTGGAAAGGGGAAATCAAATGTAATAAGGGATTTTCTAAAGGGTCATGAATCCCATTTGAATATTAAGAATAATTAGACTGGTCATAATACAACCTAGGGAATCTACAAAAATGAAAAGGTGGGGCTCTCTTTAAGTGAGAAAACATTTAAAATCAGCGCCACTGATAGAGGTGGCCTGAAGTAGTAGCACTGCAGATCACGGTGACTTCGCCTTTCTTTCCCTGCCTGCAGGCCCCCATCTCTTTCCTCTATGGTACAACAGAAAGGCAGGGGCACAGCATGGCTGCCAGTCTACGCAGGCATAGAACGTATAAATCCATTGCCCCGTTGCCATCTCCACTCCAATGCGGCCTTATGGATAAGGGGTGGCTCAAGGTACCAGCTCAGCAAATCCATGTCTTCCTTCTGCCTACCCATGGCAGCCCAAGAGGAAAGGAGCAGTCGTGACAGCATACAGGTGAAGGGGGTAGCTACCAGCCCCACCAAGTGGACACTGCACAAACCCCCTCCTCTGGTGCCCGCCCCACTGCGGGGCGGAGACACTATCTTCCCAGTTGCGCCTGCGCTTCCAAAATCCCGCACCCTTCCCCACTGCGGCACTTTGGGGAGGGGGCAGCTGCCCACGTTGCCAGCCTCCTCCCCTCAGCGCTGCGCTTTGAAGGTGCCGCGGAAATTGCTGCCTGGGAGAAACCTCATACATTACCCTTCCCCCACTGCGGCACTGGCGGAGGTGTAGGCTGCCCCCCACCCGGTCACGCCTGCGCAGATCGGCACATCTGCAACGGCAGCCATCTTGGCGAGCCTCACAATGGTAGTGACGCGGCAGTGGACCCCAGAAAACCTTACTCCGAAGGCAGGGAAAGATCCATGCAAACAAGACACGCCTCTGCAGTGTTACATCCCAGAACCTGGCACAACTCTCACAAATTCATAAAGCAAGCTCTGCACACCATACCCCTAATCTTATACCAAAACCTCAAAAGCGAGGAATTATACAGGAGTAAAATATCTGAAGACAAACTTTTCTGCAGCTGTTCCTTTAGGTGAGCAACGGAGAGTAGGTTCGCCCTAATATAGACTCTTAGGACTGTAGAGAACAACTGAACGTTCTCCCCTTTTTCCTCAAACTAAAGGTGTGGACCCCTCGCCTCTTCCATCAGCCTACCACCAGACTCGTGGTCCACTGCTCCCGCCCCTCTTAACGTGCTCATTCAACCACCGCCATGGCGGCCACTCTGCCAAGGTACCCACCGCCACCCGATCGCCCCTCCCGTCACCACCATCATGGCTGCCTCGCCACCACCACACATACCATATCCAAGGTGGGTCACCCCTTTCACCGTGCCGCTCGCTTTGTAGCACCCTCACGGTGGCCTCCCTGCCACCACCTCCCGAACACCGCCATGACAGCCACCCCTAGCTTACCAACTCCGCCCCTCCCTACCACCACCATGACGGTCACTTCACTGTCCCATCCCGTGGCAACCATGATCACTCTGCTAGTCACCCCGCCATCTCTTCTGTATCACTGCCGCTGTGGCCACCTCACTGACCCCCCAAAGCACGAGCATGACCACTGTATCTCCCCCTCACTACCATCACCACGAAGAACAGCCCACCCTCTACTCCCTCCCACCACCACCATGACGACCACCATGGCGGCCACCATTTCTACACCACGATCACATCATAGTGGATATCTCACCCTAAAGATCCTTCCTTACCGTACTTACCACTGCGAGTACGCTGCTACCCCTGAGATACCACTGTCACCAAAACCCGATGTCCTACCCTGTCACCCCCTCCGTGGTACTGCGGACTCCCCAGAGATTCCACCCCTATCTTTCGCACCATAGTCATCACTATATACCTTCCTCAACCACAGTCATGGCCTCAGATCTCAAGGACAAAAGGCCACTTTAGAAAGGATCTGACAGGACACGATACGATGGCATATACCAGCTGCAATACGACACGACATGGTCAGAGCACCACCAGGGAGGTACAACCAATCCCCAAACCTTCAAAAGTATCTCATTCAGTTCTCCAGAACAAAGAACTTTAGAACCTGGATTTCCACTATATACAACAATACTTTAAATTCTGCAAATCTGGAACACTGAACAAACAACAAGGACTATTCCCCAGGCTGTCTCTAAGGGAAGAAATCCACACAGCTAACCTGGCCCGCTCCATCGCGCTGCTACCCGCTCCTCAGAACAGACCGTCAGGCATCTCCGGCGACCACTCCACTCTGCGCTTGAGTCACCGCCGCAACACCAACTAATCACGCCAGTTCCACCTGCGCATGCGCAGCAAACCGCCCCTCCACCTTTGGCTGCGCAACCGCAACAGTTTGCCGCAGTGCTCAGGTCCTGCCGCAGTGCAGGGGTGCCAGTGCCTCTGCTAACTGGCATTACCAGGGTGTGATGTTTGCTTGACTCCAAGTAGCCAAGGCATTAGCGCCTTACGAGGGGGACTCCAAGGACGGCAGCACCACCCTGGGGTTCAATGGCAACGTTTCTCTCTTTCTTAAATACATATAAAATGTTGAGGAAATAATTCTTGGTTCCCCAACAAATCTTTGCAGGCACCGTGGGCCAAAAATCCTGATTTACAGTCATCTTCATGTCTTCCTATACCATGTCAGAAATGCTGATTTGGGGGGCACCTGGATGGCTCAGTCCTTGAGCATCTGCCTTCGGCTCAGGTCATGATCCCAGGGTCCTGAGGTGGAGCCCAGCACGGGGCTTCCTGCTCCGCAGGAGGCCTGCTTCTCCCTCTGCCCCTCCCGGTGCTGTGTTCCCTCTTTAGCTGTGTTTCTCTCTGTCAAATAAATAAATAAATAAAATCTTAAAAAAAAAAAAAAAGAAAGAAAGAAAAGAAAAATGCTGATTTGGAAAAGCTAAATTGATGCAAAACCACAGTCAGTGCAGTATTGCTAGATCATCGAAACCCAATCTAGAAGAAAATGCCTTTGAAAAGATACTGTATTAGAGCACGTGTGTGGCTCAGTCATTAAGCAACCGCGTTCAGCTCAGATAATGATCCCAGGGTCCTAGGATCCAGCCCCACATTGGGCTCTCCCTCTCCCACTCTCCATGCTCTCTTACTGTCTCTCTGTCAGATAAATAAATAAAATCCTAAAAAAAAGATAGTCCATTATTTGAATTTGGTTAGATTTCTTTCCCTCTTTTTATGCTTTCTACAGTTTTGGGTTTTTGGTTTTTTTTTTGCAAATTTTGAAAATTATGCCAAAGCCATCATAATGTAATTAACCTCTCAAATATAGAATGGATAAGTAATTAAGTTGGAAAAGTTGTCTATTCAATTTCTATAAAACGAAAAATGAACTTGGATTCCTACAAAAAACGAAACCTTTACTTGGGTATATTGAAATTTTTACCAATAATCGGTGATAGCTAGAGTGGGGAAAATAATACTTTCATACAACAGGGATGAGCAAGTAGATAGAATGATTTTCTTTTTTTTTTCCTAATAATACCTTTTACAGATTTAAGAGACACTTTGGTAACTCCAAAATTGTTACATATGTGTAACATGGAGAAAAACAATGCTAAGGACAGAAAGCTAAGGGAATAATCCTGAAGCTGGATTTGCATAGAATTTTACATAGCTTTGTAATTTCTCAATTCTCCATGTCAATGAACTGAGGGGGAAGGTGGGCTAATGGTGACTAAATAGCTAAAATCCCCTCCCCATTCCCTTAAGCTAGTGCTCTGTTCCCAATCATTTTATACTTTACAAAGAAGTGTGAAGAGACGTGTCAATGCAGACATCTATCATAATAAAATCTTGAAAACTATGTAATGTGCCTCATGAAAGATATATAGGCTAAGTAAATTTTACATATGTATACAAACAATAATAGGCTGATATATAGAAATATAATACAGCTCATATAAAGAATCATTTGAAATTATCAATATTAAACAGATTTTTATCTACAAAATTTCACTAATAGTTCATTTTTACACATTCTTGTGGAGTAACATATGAAGGAGTTCATAATATACTACCCTAAAATATGCCACCCTGGCATACTGACTACTTTTAGTTACTCCCCTATAAATAGAAAGTCAACCCTGATCATGGGAGCAAATAGTAAAATATTATGTAAAATTAATGCTATGTGAATATTTTATGTAAATATATGTTACCTGCACATTAAAAAAAATGTATGAACGAATACACACCAACTATACTGTTGAAAACTATCCTTGGATTCATAATCATTTGACTCAAATTCTAGTTTTGAAACTTGACAGCAACGTTACTTGAGGCAATTATCTAACTTTCTGTGCCTAATTTTTTTTAATCTGTAAAATATGGAGGAATTAGGGGCGCCTGGGTGGCTCAGTGGGTTAAGCTGCTGCCTTCGGCTCAGGTCATGATCTCAGGGTCCTGGGATCAAGCCCCGCATCGGGCTCTCTGCTTGGCAGGGAGTCTGCTTCCCTCCCTCTCTCTGCCTGCCTCTCTGTCTACTTGTGATCTCTCTCTGTCAAATAAATAAATAAAACCTAAAAAAAAAAAAAATATGGAGGAATTGTACTTACCTTACACAATGATCTGACAGCTAAATGAGTTAATATGCCTATATAGAATAGTTTGTTTCAGACCAAAAACTCCATAAAAGTGTTAGCTCTTCAAACAGCCCCAAATACTACAGTGATAACTTCTACTAGGAAATAAAAATTTGGTATATGTGTTATTGTTGTTAATTAAAATCTGTACCTTATCCATATTTCCTCAGATTTTTCTTCATGTCATTTTTCTTTTTTTTTTTATATTTTATTTATTCATTTGACAGATTACAAGTAGACAGAGAGGCAGACAGAGAGAGAGAGGGAGGGGGAAGCAGGCTCTCTGCTGAGCAGAGAGCCCGATGCGGGGCTCGATCCCAGAACGCCAAGATCATGACCTGAGCCGAAGGCAGAGGCTTTAACCCACTGAGCCACCCAGGCGCCCCATGTCATTTTTCTTGTTGCAAGATACCATACATGTTTTTCAGGAGCCATGTCCCTTTAGGCTCCTGTTGTCTGTAAAAATTTGGGTGGGTTTTTTTAAATGTTTTTACCATGTTTATACTTTGTACAATGTTAATTACTTTTAGAATTAAAAATAAATATTAAGATAAAATTATACTTAATTCGCAGCTCTAATATACTTGATTGTCTAGTTCTGACCCAGCTTCCAAATCCTTCTCCGGCCTGCTCTTTTTGACAATTCTGACCACACTCCTGATAGTTTTCTGGCTGTTCTACCACCTTAAGAAACTGGCTTTAGATGCCAAAGAAGGCGTGATAAGTTCCCTGAGCCTTACACACACTCCAAAGAGAGCTGACATATTGGATCATTCATATACTTAAAGAGTATAATTTATATCAGTTTATAAGTCTGATTGAGCATTCCCTGCAATTGGGTAGTAAACATACAAAAAAAAAAAAAGAGAGAGAGAGAGAGAGAGGGACTTTACCAATACACTTTGTTATAAGGACTGTGTTGCTAGATATGTCTCCCAACAATTCCATTTTTCCTAAAGTCTAGACCTATCCCCAAGTCATACACTCATAGTTATACACCTAAGGGACAACAAATCTGGAGTAAAACTATCCTCAAAATTAAAAAAAAAAATCTGTATACAACTGAAGCTAAAGAATCTGCAAAACTGATCAGAGCTCCTCCATCATATACAAAAATTAAGTCAAAATGGATTAAAGACTCAATATAAGAGTTTAAAATATAAAATTCTTAGATGAAAATATGGGTGTAAATCTGTGTGACCTTGACTTAAGTAAGCAATGTTTTCTTAGAAAGGATACAAAAAAAATAAAGTAGACTTTACCACAATTACATTAAAATTTTTGCTTCAAAGGACACCATTAAGAAAATAAAATGACAACCAGCAGAATGGTGGAAACTATTTGCAAATATCCTATAAAGGAAGTCTTATAAGTCAACAAAAGATAGAATAAAGTGTGAAAGATTTGAATAAATAATTAACCCAAAAAAATGATATAAACAAATGGCCAATCAGCACATGAAAAGATGTTCAACACCATTAGTCATTAGGGAAATGCAAAAGATTAGCTCAATGAGGTGCCACTTCACACTCAATAGGAGGGCTATAATCAAAAAGACAATAACAAGTGTTATGGAGCATGTGGACAAATTGGAACATTCATACTTTGCTTATAGAAATGTAAATTAGTGCAGCCACTTTAGAAAAAATTTTTGTAATACCTAAAACTTTAACCATAAAGTTATCCTATGATCCATAACTCTACTCTTAAGTATATAACCATAAAGAAATGAAAACACACACGTATGCAAAAATGTGTACATGAATTTTCATAGCAATCTTATTATAATAGAGAGAGAAAGTAACTCAAATGTCTATCAACTGACGAATGGATAAACAAAATATGTGGTATGGCATATCTATATTAAAATATCATTTAGCCATAAAAAGGAATGAAGTATTGATTCATGCTGTAAAACGGATGAAGCTTGAAAAATGTTATGCTAAATGAAAAGATTCAAACATAAAAGGCCACATTTTATATGAGTCCACTTATATGAAATGTTCAAAATAGTCAAATTCATAGACATAGAAAGCCAAGCAGCAGTAGTCAGAGAATGGGGGAATAGGGATTGACTGCTAATGGTTATTGGGTTTCTTTATAGGATAATAAAATGTTTGAAATTAAATAGTAGGGATGTTTATAAAACATTGTGACTATACTAAAAATCAATGAATTGTACAATTTTTAAAAGGTAGATATTACAGTGTGTACATTTTAATTTTTTAAATTCCAATTGAGGGCCATTTTATAAAATACCTGAATAGTAATCCAAAAACTGTCAAAAACAAAGAAAGTCTGAGAAACTTTCTGAGTTTTGTTACAACCCAGAAGAGCCTTGAGAGAGGAGTACTAAATGTAATGTTATCCTGGATGAGATCCAGAACAGAGAAAGGACACTATGAAGAGACTGAGAACATCTAAATAAAGTCTAAACTTCAGTTTTGGTTCATTAATTATAACCAATGCACCATACTAATGTAAAATGTTGATAATAGAGGAATATATATGTGAGATATACAATAACTGCACTATCTTTGAAGTAATTATGTAAGTATAAAGAATAAAATGATCAGAAATTATATACAGAAGTGTCCTGACATGGTCACCTACAAAGGGAGCAGGTTGGTGGACAGGGCAGA